CATCTTATTTTAGTATCACTGAGATATACCACAATAGTTTTTATTAACATTTTGAATCAGTTTTTATTTTTATACAATGAAAAAAAGAATGGTATTGAAAGAAGTCTCACTCAGAAATCGCTAGTACATTTTATAAACTATTACAAAGAAAAGGCAAGTAACACTGAATTAAACATGACATTTTGAAATAAAAAACTGATATTAAATATTCCAATAATCTATTTTATTTATAACTTTAAACAGCCACTTCTACAGCATATTCTAAATATTTATATATTTAAATAAATATTATATATTATTTTTTGTTTTCATTTAAATTTCATTGAAAGTTTTAGTAATTCAGTTTTTTTTTTTTTTGTCATTTGATGTATATTTTTTTATATGTTTATTCACTGTAATAATATGATTTTCCATGTTGTAAATAAAACAAGATTATTGGAGCACATTTTACAATATTCAAATACTATTTCTAGTTTATAGTTTTTCTACTTTAAAATTTCATGTTTATTTCAATGTGTTATTTGTCCTTTATTTGTAATTATTTGTGAAATTTCTGAGTGAAAATGAGTTATTCGCAGTGAAGTATTATTGAGATACTACCATTTTTATTAATATTTTGGATTCATTTTTAATTTTCCTGTTATGTTAATTTTATTTGAAGTTTTAGTAACTGTTGCATTAGTTTAATGTCTATCCAAGTTGTCAAAATAAAACAAAATATTAGTGGAGTACAAGAAAATACTATTTGAATCATTCTACTTTAAAAGTTAATGTTCAATTTACAATTTATTTGCTGTTTCTTTGTTAAATAATTGTGACGCGCTAGCAATCTATGAGTGAAAATAGTTTCTACACCATTTTCAAAGTTTAAAATATATATATATATATATATATATATTAGTTTTAGTTATCAAGGTGAACTAAATACAAATATTTCAGTTTGTTTATTTAGTATATAATCAACAAGTAATGTTTATTATGGTTTTAGTTTTAGTTAACTATAATCATTTTGGCTTCAACCTCTGCATCCATCAGAAACATTTTTCCAATCTTTCTGCGTTTTCTTTGGTTATGAGATGATTACAGGGAACAAGAGCAGTCTTTAAGTAATTTAAGGTCAGATATACCACAGAAAACACTTGATGAAGTGTTTTGGCAAAGTATGTCAGATAATTACACCTAATCTCTATTCAGATTCTGAATCAGACAGGAACTCCTGAATCCATTATATCCTTACAGACTTCTTCTTTCTCGTTTGCATCAGAAACTTCATGTCAGAGCAGAAATGCCTGGAGTTAACAGGCTGAAATTTAATATCTTTGTGGTTTTTATTTTTCCACGAGTTGGCTAGTTTTCCGGAAAGGGGTTTCCAGGCTGGAAAATGTAATGGTACGTTTGTTTATAACACACACACGCATGTATTCTCTAGACAAAATCTAAGTGCGATTAATTTAAGCCTATAGGCTTAAATGAAACATATATTTAATTGTATATAAACATCTCCATGTATGACTTTCAACACAAAAAGAGCTCTTCAGCATAAAACATTTTACAGTGACCACAACTGTCAATAAAACATAAAAGCATGACAGCATGACTTGTGCACTGTATTTATGATGCTTTGTGACGGTTATCTTCCCCTCAGATCTCACATGAGACCCTGGAACACAAAACCAGTCATAAGGGTCCATTTTTGAAAATTGAGATGTATGCATCATCTGAAAGCTGAATAAATAAGCTTTCCATTGATGTATGGTTTGTTAGGATCGGACAATATTTGAAAATCTAAATATTGAGAAAATCATCTTTAAAGTTGTCCAAATGAAGTTCTTAGCAATGCATATTACTAATCAAAAAATACGTTTTGATATATTTACGGTAGGAGATTTACTAAATATCTTCATGGAACATGATCTTTACTTAATATCCTAATGATTTTTGGCATAAAAGAAAAATGTATAATTTTGACCCATACAATGTACTACAAATATACCCCAGTGACTTAACACTGCTTTTGTGCTCCAGGGTCACATTTGTGATGCTGCATATATTAATTTAACACATGAAAATCAAGTTCAGTGTGATGTAATTTTTGAAGCAGCGAATGAGTTTCCAAAGCTTCGGTGGAGGGGAAGACTTTCAGTCAATAATGCATTGATAGCAGCACACAGCTTTGATGCAGCGTGATGATGACAGCCGTATCACAGTCTGCTCAATGAACTGACTCAGAAGTGACAGTATGTACTGCTGAGAGTTTCTCAACAGCCAGAGAGCAGGACCGGACCTGTTCAACTCAATAGACATGAGAGGAGCTGAACACTTTAGAGGATAATGAGCATTTAAGGTCTGTTTGAAAAACACAAATAACCTGCAGCCATATGCAGTACTGTCTGCCCTGAATTACATAACCAAACACCTCACGAGTCACAGTAACACTTGACAATATGATTGAATATGTTAACGTTAGATACAGCAAGCTGACATTTGAGTTTGCATTTAAATGTTTTTCTTCATGTTAATTCATGCATGCATTATGAGCGATCATGGGCTAACAATGGACAATAGTGCATTTATGAATTAACTTTAAAAAATAAGAAACCCACAAATGAAAATTTACTGAAAATGTCCTCACCCTCTGACTATCCAAGATTAGGATGAGTTTGTTTCTTCAGCAGATTTGGAGAAATGTAGCATTGCATCAGTGTCTCAGCAATGGATGCTCTGCAGTGAATGGGTGCCGTCAGAATGGGAGTCCAAACAGCTGATAAAAACATCACAATAATCCACAAGTAATCCACAGCACTCCAGTCCATCAATTAACATCTGGAGAAGACAAAAGCTGAAACTAATCCAGCATTAAGATGTTTTTAACTCAAATACATTGAGTCCATAATCCATAATAACGCTTCCTCCAGTGAAAAATTGTTCTGTTCTGAATCAGGAGAGAAATCTGCACAGATCAAGCCAAAACAGCTCTAAACAAGTAAAAATTTCTTAACAATGGATTTGTTTCTTACAAACATGCAGCTTTTGTCTTCTCCAGACGTTAACTGATGGACTGGAGTGCTGTGGATTATTGTGATGTTTTTATCAGCTGTTTGGACTCTCATTCTGACGGCACCCATTCACTGCAGAGCATCCATTGCTGAGACACTGATGCAATGCTACATTTCTACAAACCTGATGAAGAAACAAACTCATCCTGATCTCAGATGAATTGAGGGTGAGCACATTTTCAATTTTGGGTGAACTATTTCTTTAGTAAATGCATTAAAAACATTTTTAGTTCATGATACCCAATGCATTAGGCATTAGCTAAACTCCAGTTACTGAAAACACTTTTTTAAAAGTCTGCTTCAATCTGACAAATATCATTAAATAATAATAATAATAATGAGAATAAATAGAAACATAAGCAGGCCTTATAGCAAAGTCAAGAGACAGCATTAAGAAAATAAATGAATTAAAATCTAAAAATAAACAATCAGCCATCAAAACAAACTCACTTGCCATAACAAAAGGACGTTTTGTACAAATGTGAAGTTTATTCTTTAAAGAAGTGAATAATATATAAACTATTGTCTATAAATATAAAGGGTTTTTAATAGTATCACAAGCAGAAGTATGAGAAAGAAGAAAATAACAGATGTCACCAGTGTAGAAAACCGAAATATGGGCTTCAATGCTAGCGTGATTAAATACATCTCAGATCCATGCAATCGCATCTCACAAGAACAGGAGTTTAAGAGCAGGCCTCTATCTACCAGTGCTTTCTGTAATCACCTTAAACAGAGATTCCTTTGCGAAAACAAAAACATTCATTTGCATGAGATAATCGCCATAAACAATCAAGAATCAACATTATCTGATGTTCAGTAAAGGGCATCTTTTAAAAAAGCACATGATGACACAACAAACCCTGAAGAATTATGAACAGGATGATGTGAATTACTCTTAGTGCTTGAGCGATGTGGGGGTTTTATTAGCTGATGTTGATACCAATAACCACAGTGCAGACCGATATACAACCGATACAACTTAAAAATCAGTTAAAAATGTCTGAAAACCAATTGCATTATCCATTAACACACCTGCTGGTAGATTTTGGAAATGATACACAGGACAAGCGGACATGATTATCGCTGCTGGTCATTTCAAAAGGGCCAAATATAGTTTTTTGGGGGGTATTTTGGGGATATTTGGGTTTTTTAATAACTTATGTTTATACCGATAACCAGAGCGCAGACCGATATACACCCGATATTACTTAAAAATTAGTGCTGTTAAACGATTAATCGCATGCAAAATAAAAGTTTTTGTTTACATAATACATGTGTGTGTACTTATGTACATATAAATACACACACATGCATGTATATATTTCAGAACAATATGCTATGTTTATACATTAAATATATGTATAATTCTATATGTGTCTATATGTATAAATATTCTATGAATTTGAATATATACATGTAAACACATGCAAATATTTTCAGAACATATACTGTACTGTATGTGCGTGTATTTATCTATACATAATAAATGTACCTACATACTGTATATATTATGCACACAAAAACATTTATTTTGGATGTGCTTAATAGCGATTAATTATTTGACAGCGCTAATAAAAATCAATAAGATGATATGAAAACAACTGCAATATCGATCAAGAGGCCTGCTGGTAGATTTTGGAAATGATACACAGGACAAGCAGATGTGATTATTGCTGCTGATCATCTCAAAAAGGCCAAATATCGGCCAATATATCGATTCACCTCTACACAGGCACTGTTAAAAATAAAGGTGCTTCACGATGCCACAGAAGAACCTTTGTGTCTGAATGGCTGCATAAAGAACATCTGAAGAACCTTTCTGTTTCACAAAAGCTTCTTTGTGGCTAAAGACGGTTCTTCAGATTATAAAAAGCTAAGAAAGAGATGTTCTTTGACTGAATGCTTCTCTGTGGAACCAAAAATGGTTCTTCTATGGCATCGCTTGAAGAACCTTTTGAAGCAGCTTTATTTTTAAGAGTGTATGCATCAGAAAGTCTACATCCTGATTTTCACATCATGGATTAGTTACGATACCAACACAGACATTACACTATTTGAGAAGTGCATTGCAAACACCCTGTTCCAGCTGTATGTTTAGAGGTACTTCTGTGCAAAAGAGCCGAAGGAGAACACAAACCCTTCAGAAACATCACCAGAGTTCATTACAGACTGAAGAAAAACATGTATACATTTCTTTGAGTTAAACACAAGTGCAGGCCTGACCCCAATGCTGCTCTGAACTGAAAAAGGCACTTAACTTTACATCTTAAAACAGCCTGAGACTGCTGCTGTCCAAGCCCAGGACAGGCCAGGAGACCAGCAACCGGCTACGGCTGGGTTAAACACATCTCAACCATGGGTACTTGCAGTTTTTGTTCTAGCTCCTAGTCTCAGCCTCCATAAAACATTCAAGTCCTATAATTCATCTGATCTCATTCCCAAAGCTTTCATTTAAAGCTCAATTCTTCCCATGATATGCAGCCTTAAGTGCTGGGTGCACAATTCACACACATTATTATTGTTATTTCTGCATTATTTGCATGTAAAAAGTTTGAATATTTGCCCGTGGAAATACTGATGTCGATCAAAAAGACACAGTTTTACATTCAGGCATAAAAAACAGATCCCCACCCGGAATAATCCAAGAGAAAATGCATAAATAATCTCCAAAACGATACGGTTTGTCCAAAAAAAAAAAACGTTCCTTTGATTAAACAAAGAACATCCAAGTGAGATTTAAATACAAAGATATACTCACAACAACAACTACAAAAAGCACAATGTTTATGTACAACGCGAAGGGCGTCCTTTAAACAGTTGTTTTCTCCATCAGAAAAAGTGAGTAATAAAAACGCAGTTAAGTCACACTGTTGTTTCTCCTCGTTTGCTGTTCGCCAGTCTCGTGTAGAACTTCCTCCACGAGTTAAGAGTCTTTCCAGACCATATCCAGAATCCAGACGTGATGCCCACGATCAGGGTCATCAGGTACTTGATCATGAACACCGTGAAATCCGGGTTCATCTGCGGGTTGTGCACGGGGCACGGCACCGCGTACGTCTTGCACGATTGAGCGCTCCACGTCTGCTCCCACTGATCCCGAAAGGCCTGCTCGTAGAAGTAACACGCGATCACGATGGTGGCTGGAACCGTGTAGAGGACGCTGAAGATGCCGATGCGCACCATCAGCTTCTCCAGCTTCTCCGTTTTGGTGCCGTCGTGCTTCATAATGGTCCTGATGCGGAACAGAGACACGAAGCCCGCCAGGAGGAACGAGGTGCCGATGAACAGGTAGACGAACAGCGGCGCCAGGACGAATCCGCGCAACGCGTCCACGCTGTTGATGCCCACGAAGCAGACGCCGCTGAGCACATCTCCATCCACTTGACCCACCGCGAGGATGGTGATGGTCTTGATGGCCGGCACCGCCCACGCTGCTAAATGGAAATATTGCGAATTCGCTTCAATAGCCTCATGACCCCATTTCATCCCGGCCGAGAGGAACCAAGTGAGCGCTAGAATGACCCACCAGATGGAGCTGGCCATGCTGAAGAAGTACAGCATCATGAACAGAATAGTGCAACCTTCCTTTTTGGTGCCTTGCACCACTGTCCTAAACTCATTATCGAACTGCTCATTGCAAACCACTTTGTCCTCCAGCAGAAATCCGGCGATGTAAGCGATGGACACCATCGTATAACACCCGGATAGGAATATGATGGGTCTTTCCGGGTAACTAAAGCGCTTCATGTCCACTAAATAAGTCAAGACGGTGAATAAAGTAGACGCGCAACACAAAACCGACCAGATCCCGATCCAGATCCGCGCAAACTTCTGCTCTTCCTCGCTGAAGTACATCACCCCGTGGAGTTTCTTGGGTTCGCACGGCGCGCCGCAGTTTTCCTCGCCCAGAAAGCGGTAGTTTAGGTACGGCGGGACTTTAAGCGAAGTTGGGCATCTAAAGCGCCCCTTCCTGGGATGCTCGGGTGTAGCTTGGGTCACATCTGGAGTCGGATTGACCGGTGCACTCCGCTCAGACGTGTTCTGCCCCACGCAGAGCTCTCCGCCGTGCACCGGGAACGACTCGCACGCGAGACTCTCCGGCCACTGGAAACCGAATTTATTCATAAGCGCCTCGCAGCCCTGACGCGCGCGCTCGCACAGCGAACGGCACGGCGGCAGCGCCTGCTCCAGCACCGTGCAAACCGGCGCGTACATGGAGCACAGGAAGAACTTGAGGTCCGGCGAGCACTGCACTTTAACGAGCGGGTAGAACTGGTGCACCTCCAGCCCCGCGTCCTCCTGGTTCGTGTGGCCGAGGAGGTTGGGCATGATGGTCTCGTTGTACGCGATGTCCGTGCACAGAGGGATGGTGATGGGCTGGCAGAAGCCGTGCTCCGGAACCGACATGCCGCGCTCTCCGTACTGCGCGCTCGCTTCCAGTACTCCAAAGGCGAGCAGGAAGAGCGCGGACGCACCGTGCGCGGCCATAATTTCCTTCTGCGGTTTGTCTCCTCACAGCCAGCTCGCCAGCCAGCGCTAGTCTTCCCCTCCAACTCCCTTTGTCGATTTGTCCTGTCAAATCGGTGCACGGAAACTTTTGGGAAAGTGCAGCGGCGCACCGGACGCGGATCGCGAAACGCGTGAAGAAAACCACACAAGCGTCTGAGAGGCGAATGAAGAGTCGCGCTGTGTCGTGTCAGAGTTTCTGTGAGCTGTTCAAACCTGTTTCCAGGCGCCCTGCTGTCTGCTGTTCATAAGCGAAACGCGGGCGGGGCTTCACGGGCAGATGGCTCGCGTTAGGGAGCGTCGGGATTTCGTTCGCCTGCAGTTCGTTTTGCGTTCTTTTAACGATTGCACTTCGAGTTTATAGAGTTGTTGAGTGGAATGCGTTATCTCTGCTGACTTTAGAGATCAGAACAAAAAGTAAAAGAGAAGATACTAGGTGTCGGGATTTCTTTTGCATTCTTTAAACGTTCTTTCTTAGACTTATATGGTTGTTGAATGGGACTCATTTTATCTGATAGCTTTACCAAGTATAATATATTTAGCAATGTTTCCACCAATATAAATTCAGAATGGAGTTCTAACTTTACTGAAAAACACTGGGTGTTGGGATTTCTTTTGCGGTTTTTAAATGTTATTTTAACGTTTGCACTTCGAGTTTATAGAGTTGTTGAATGTTCCGCATTATATCAGCTGACTTTAGATATCAGAACAAAAAGTAAAAGAGAAGACTCTGGGTGTCGGGATTTCTTTTGCATTCTTTAAACGTTGACAACTTATCAAATCTGCTATCATACCCATCTAGTTCAGCACAATAAATAATGACAGCATACATGAGAAGTCAATGGAAAAAAATCTGCTTGCCATACAAGAAAACAGAGACGGCCCCTAACATGCAGCCCTGACTGCTGTCCTCCTATTGGTTACTGTGAGTGTCTGTAGGAGAAATGAGAGGAACATGATTTGCTCTGACAGGGGAATGTAAAACCAGCCTTCACTAAAGAGTCTGGATACTGACTGAATACAACACAACTTCTGCCTGAGTAAAGATTTCATTCTGCCAGCTACTATTGGAGAGTAAATAACACAATATATAGTATTTTAAATGTGTACGAGCTAAATCATTTCAGACAGGACTTATGAACTTTTCATTTCATTTCTTTTAATTTTGGTTCACTTAAAGTGAAAAGGACCAGGTGAAATGGTAAATCCAGAAAAGCTGAGATGCTCAGACAAGATCTGAATAATCCTGGGATAGACTGGACTGGCCAAACCAGAAAGAGATGACGTGTAAAGCATGCACGTAAACGCACTGATAATGTGTCATGCAGGGAATCTGACTATTTCCCATCACATAAACTGAAATCACCCAGATTTCTGGCTTTTAGACTCTTAAAAACAAAGGTTGCAAAAGTTTTTTTTTTGCAGCGATTCCACAATTTTTGGTCCCTCAAAGAACCCTTTCAGTGAACAGTTCATAAAAGCACATCTTCTCTTGTGAAGGACATTTTAATGATCTAAAGAACCTTTTTCCTTTTTAAAAAGACCCTTTTGTGCAATGCAAAGATTCCACTGATTTTAGAAGTTCTTCATGAAACCATCAAGGCCACTAAAAAAACGTTATTTTTAAGAGTGTGCAAAATTCATTACTTTTAATCTCAGTTCGTGAATATAGTTAAATATTAGTCACATGCTATTGCCAACATTCAAATCATCGATCGTGAAAACAGTGGTTGGTTTGAAGCATTAATAAACTTTATTTCAGGTAAAACAACAATAAACTACATTTACAGAAGGACATTACATCTTCCATAATAACATCACATACAGGATTCTAACAAATAATGCAATCCCTACTCTAATATAGTCTAAGTTTCGTTCGTTATAAAGTGGCCAGTTACACGTCTAGGTTCCAGAACCGCTCGTCAAAAGTCTGCATTATTTCAGTGCATCTTACAAAAAAGAAAAATAGATATAGGCAAGTGAAGCGAAAACACAGATTCAGTGTTCAGCACAGCGGATGCATGTTCAACCTCCACGCCTGTTTCCCAACGAGAATATACGGATGTGAATCAGTCGAGGGGGCGTTTGTGAGCCTGAACGCTGAATATATACTGTATATACAGCCTAGTATATAACAAAGATTACAAAAAGATTAAATATTCACAGATGAATTGAGAATAACATGGTATTGACAGCACATTCCAAAGCAGAGCAAACCAGGAATCTAAAGCTGTTCCCTTTTCATGGTAGATTTACATTTATATATAGATTTATTAACTATAGAAACCTCTTTCTGTCACCGAATAAATGTAAAAAAAAAAAAAGTAATCGTGACTTTTTTTCTCTCAGTTCAGTATTTTCTGAGAATTGTGATATAAACTCGCAATTGCGAGAAAAAAGTCATAATTGTGAGATAAAACCGTCAGTTTTGAGAAATAAAGTCATAATTGTGAGATATAAACTCGCAATAGTTTTTTCTCGGAATTGCATGAAACGCACATGCACATAATTGTGAGATATAAACTTGTAATTGTGTGTTATAAAGTCTGAGGGAAAAGAGACTATTTTCTTACAATTTAGTTTAGATCTTGCAATTCTGAGAAAAAAAAGTCAGAATTGTGAGATAAAAAGTCGCAATTTGATTTTTTATTCAGTGGCGGAAACAGGCTTCCATAAATAATCAACTTTGAAGCAAGCGCCAATGATTATATGCAAACATGATGTCTCTTCTTTATTGTGTGTTCGTAGTCGTCACAGTGCTAAATGTGCAACGATCGTGTTATTATTACTTTACTCCATTTTTTTTCTTGCAAAAAAGGAGACTCTGCACACCTTAAAGGGGTCATATGATGTGATTTCTAATGCCGCAGCAGGTTTGGAGGCATTAATGCGGCTCCGTCACGCTGCGTTTCCACAGAATTGCAGCTCTCTTTATAGTCGCAACATTTAAAAAGTGTAAATGTGTAAGTATAAAATGGTTAGTTGAATAAAGGCCACGTTCACACTGCAGACTGATACGGGTGTCACTCCTCTTCACCAACATTGCAAAATAATCCTTTTCTTCCTCAGTATTTTTGTCGTCTTCCAGTAGAGTAAAAGAATCAAACTACTAAGATATTAAGTTTTGTTTTCTGAAAAATTTATCAAAATTGAGCTCGTACTTAAAAACAAGAAAAAAAAGGAAGCTTGTTTCCATCATAGAATAAAAACGTAAAAAATGTAATTGCACATTTTTTATCTCAATTTTCTGCCAATTCTGATAAAAAAAAGTAGAAATCGCCAGAAACCCAGAATTCTGTCTCACTCACAATTCTGACTTTTATATTTGAGTTTATATTTATAATATATACTGTTATAGTTTATATCTCATAATTGCCTGTTTTATTTTTTTATATCCCGTGGCGAAAGCAAGCTTACATAAAAATACCAACCAATGAGGTAAGAAAAATTAAAATTGAATTCAAAGGGTAATCAAGTTTATTTTTCTGACCTCATTGACAGTTTTTTCTTGTTTTAAGCAAAAACCATTTTGATCATTTCTAATTTTTTACAAAAAAAATTCTGAAAACAATATTTAATATCATATCTTCATGCACCTCAAATACATCTATCTTGATTTAAGAATGTTAAGAATATATGCACTGGAAAACAAGACAAAAATACTGAGGAAGAAAATCTTTTTTGTGTGTTTTATAGCATTGAATTCACTGATATGCACCACTTTTGAGCACCGTATTTTAGCGCATGTTTCCTGCTATTTAATCTGCATTATTCCTTTAGTGAATTGGGTGCTAAATACATTCATGTCTTTATTTATTAACATTTCTTTTGTCCGAAGCAGCAAACACAAACGGGTTAGACTGCTAATAATCACGTTTCTAGTTTATGAGACGCCAAATTGTTGCTTAAATTCATTACGAGTGATGAACAGGTTATGCAGTGTGTACGTGGCCTGACCGAATTTACAGGTGCAAAACATGATCTTATAAGCTGGAATGTTGCACAAACATGTCGAAAAGTGCATTCGCAGTAAGCGTTGACCTTTTAAAGTCCATAAACATCATTGCTCTTTAACTAATCCTCTGACTGTTAGTCACACCATTATGACTAAAGCTGAATCAAGACGTTCATTTTGCACAAATTTGAATAATTAAAAAAAAAAGGATCATGTCTGGATTTTTACCATATAATAACTGCAAAGGCATGATGTGTCACTGGACGTCATGCACGTCTGTACACATTCCATTCGCTTCTGATTTATTAAATCATCTGTTGCTAAACAGGTGTGTTACTGTACAAATCTGAACTAATTTTACTTCTTTATTCGATCCATGTTAACAGTGCAGAGCCAAACATTGCTATTTTTCAATTAGCTCTTGCACTTATAGAAAGCAAAATTCATTGATATTTCACAACATACTGATAAAAAGAGAAAATACCGTACACAAATGGAGATTATATTATTATGTTGAACGTCTGTTATACAGAAACCAAATGGTTGGACATGAACAGGAAGAGCAGTATTAGTATTCAGATACGCAGGCCAGGAGAGTAGTGCACTTTGGGAAGGTTCTCCACTCCACTTGTTTTTATCCTTATGTTGTTACCGGTTAACCTGCTTTTCTTCAAACTGTGTGATTTTTTTTCTCATTTAGGGTCATGAACATGCACGCAAAGTTTTGACACTGGTGTGTTTTGGAATGTGTACAAAATCTTTCTGTTTTAAAAACTGTTTCAATTTAACACATTTAAATTTTAATCCATTTCAAGGTTAAAAGCAGGTGCTCAGACCCAAAATAAAAATAAATCTGTATTTTGTTTGGTATTTGCATTTATTATGCATTTGGCAGATGCTTTTACTTGAAGAAACGTACGCTGCGTTGAAGGCGTACATTTTTATTAGTTAATGAATATGACTTTTGTTGGCAATCGAACCCATAATCCTGCTGTTGGAAGTGGCATGCTTCTAAAATTTGAGCTTTAGGAAAGTATACACAACAATACAAAAAATTTAAATAGAAAATAAATAAAATTTGACAGCAATACCAGCAATACCAATGACCGATTATTAAGAATGATATCTGCCGATACCGATACGATTATTCGGAATGATATCTGCCGATACTGTTTATTCAGAATGATATATGCTGAAATTGATAGCCGATTATTCAGAATATATGCAATACCAATAAGTTTAGTTTTCTTAAGGAAAAAAAGTAT